GGATGTCACAACAACATGTAATCTATTTTGCGGTTTGCGTGCCTCAGAGGGCCCGGACTTAAAGACTAATATGAATATCTTTGGTTTGTTTCCACTTTCGGCAGAGCGTGCAGAGGAAGGATGGAGGCACATCAAATGTTAATCATAGCTGCATTTTCTGTGTGGTCTCATCCCTTTCATTTTGCTAAACAGTCATTTAAGTAATAACCAAGTCTGCATGGGGAGTCTGGTTTGGGCTTTTCAAAATCGTCCTATTTAAAGTAATTTTTCACCCAGTCGTAAACAGGGCTTGCACCGATGTGAGAAAATCCACTTGAACAATACGGCAGGGTGGACACCCGATAACTGGCTGCTGGATTCTAGGGTGGAGTCCTGAGCAGAAATCAAGCTTCCTGTTGAGTGCCCACCCTCTGCCCATTCATCAGTCATCACTGGTTCCCAGTAGGAAACCATTTAATGTTTAGTCCAGTGTGGGTCTGAATGGCAACATTTAAATATGCTAGAAACTGAAGTTATCTCAATTTCCACAAAAAAGGAGAATTATTTACATTTACATAAACTTTACTCCAGTTTTATTGAGCATAAGCGTTATTGTGTTTTATTTTACAGTGACATACTGAACCACAACGGCTGCAGGAAACATTAAAAAAGGGCAATACATCAAATTATTGATAGATAATCCAGAGAATTACTTGTATACTATTTAGGGCTAAAACAATTAGTCAGATTAATAGAAACAATTAACTAAGTTAGTAATCGATTAATCATTAATTGGAGTATACAGAATCTAAAATATACCATTTGCTGAAAAAATAACACAATCAAGCAGTAATTAACCCAAATATATAAAAAATATATACATTTTGCACTTTAGATTAAAAAAAATCCTTTGTTTGTAAATCTGCTCAACCAAAAGCTCCTCAAGTGTGATAGTTTTAGGTTTACCTGGGTCAAATTATGTAAAATTATCCCATTAAGCACATTTTTCTATCCAGTTATTGATTAGTTAATTTAAATAATAGTCAACAGATTAGCTCTAAACTTTGCTGATGAAACAGAAAATGGCTTAATCAAGTATTTATTAGCTGCAGATGTGTCCTTTGCTATGTAATATTAAGGTAATAAGATGTTTACTGCCTTTTTTTAAAAAAGTTCTTGAATTATTTCTATATTTTTTTAAGTGGTTACATAAAAAAATCTGCAGAATGTTTTTTTTTTTTTTATCCAATTACTCGATTAATCACTGGGAAAAAATGATAGAATGATTGATTCCTAAAATAATCAACACTGGATCAGTGTGAAACTATTTTAAGCAATATTAAATCAAATCAATATCAAATCAAACTGTGACCGAAAGGAACTTTTTAATAAAGCAACCAATATTTAAAAAGAAAAATACAACACAAAACTTTGGTGATTTGAAATCAAACACACAAACGTTGAATAATATTCAACGTTTGTGTGTTTGATTTCAAATCACCAAAGTTTATTATAATATGAGTATATGAAAGTTTTTTTTAAGACCTTTTCTCTGAATAAAGACAAATATCAGGTGTGCAAGAATGTCTTCTGCCATCTCGTGTTGCCATGGCAGCATCAACAAAAATGACTTAAACGGATAAACAATGTGATAAGGAGGAACCTGTGGATATTATTGGAACCTTACAGATAATCCTGAGCATCCTCTTCATCAAACTGCTATACAACAGTAGTCTTCAGTCAGAGGCTTCTTCAGATTTGCTGTAATACAGACAGCTACAGGAGCTGCAACTCTTTGAAGAAATCTGTATAATATGAGTTAAAACGTTTAATTTTCTTCAGGGATTAAAGTATTACTGACATAAATTAGAGGAAATTGTCTGAAATTGTAAATATTTGATAATTCAGCATTTTAGCTGAAAAAATAAAATAGTTTGTTGACCCGTGTCAATAGAGACAGCCGTCTCTCTGTGTATACAATCTGACATATATACACAAAACAGCAGCTGCCATCACCTAGTTTGGAGTTGAGGCTCCAATGAACATCTATTTGTAGAATGGAGTCATGAAGACACTCAGATGCATCTCAGCTGGACACACACACACACACACACACACACACACACGCAGGGCTTGGACATCATGACGTAAACTCCAGCTTTCGTTAATAAATCCTTCGTTCTGCTGTAAAAACGGATCGGCTGCTTCTTCTCCGTTTGAGCGTCGAGCTTGTTTGTCTCGCTGCAGAGTATTTCCGGATCTGGCCTGGAGTTGTTTTGATGCTTTGCAAAGTGGTCGTTAATTTGTGGAGCCGGTTGAGCACAACCACATAAAGAGCTGTCTATCTACCCAGATTTTAGGGTTTACAGGAATGCCGTTGCTTAGAGCGTTGTGGGATTTTGAAGGATTAAAATATTTTATAATTGATCCAAATAGTTTCCCTGTTGGGTTTTAGACTTGTATTCAAGCTGAACCGGCTCTGACTCTGGAAATAAACGGCTCATAAATAAGCACATTAAGCACGGGGTTAAGTTGTTATTAGAAAGGTGAACATGAAGTTGAAGTTTGCAATTAAAATTAAAGAGCTAAATAGGCGCTGCTTAGTGAGGGCATTGCAGCCAAACGGGTCACATGTTTAACTGTTTCGAATATCCTGGTACTTGTGCAACAGCAATTTGTAATGAGAAACAACCATATCAGGGTCAGATCTCCTTGGCTAAACTTGTGTAATAAATACAATTTACACTAAAGCTGCCTCTTTTATATTATTAGAAAGAGGTATTGTATGAAGGAATTTTTCTGCCATAATCCAAGAGCACACATTTTCAGTCTGAAAGCAAGATTTCATGCCTTTCTTCTCAAAATGTGTAATTCTTGTACTCAAAATTTCTGCTGTCTTTCAAATATTCACTGTGCTTTCTCAAACCTACAATAGTAGGCATGCAGGCGCACCCACTACAATTAAACAAACGCACCCAGTACAACGCTTTAATTCTATTGGCTGAGTGGTTGCCAGGCGACGGTATTCTATTGTTCCAAGTGAGCAGAAAATGATTCTCAAGCGAGCAGAGAGGTTTGCAAGCTTGAATTTGATCCGAGCAGAGACAAGTTTTGACTGCGAGAACTAGAAAATACACTAAATTTTTAGGAACTTCTTACACCCTGCTGTGAATCTTATGACTTCACTGTAGCAAGCTTTGAGTCTTCTTTGTTCAACACCGACTTCCACACTGAAGAGTGTTCTTGCCACAAAGAGTTTTCACTTAGATATGGTGCATTTTAAACTGGATTTATCAGTTTAGGATCAATGTCAACATGAAAAATCTACTGTTTGATCACTATTTATTTTAAAAGTAACGGTAACACTTTATTTGAAAGGATGTGCATAAGACTGACATAACACCTATCATAAACATGAAAGAGTCTTTCTGAATGTTTGAATATTGTCATCATGAAGTGTCATTCGATAGGTAATTTTATTTATATAGCACATTTTAAGCAACAAGGCAATTCAAAGTGCTTTACATGAATTAGAAGGAAATACAAACAAAACAACAAAACCAAAAGAAAGACAAGGTAAAGTACATATTGGTTCCCTATGTTTAATAAGAATAAAAATAAGTAGTCCGTAGTTTATAAACTGGTAAGGGTTTCTCTGGATTCTTGTTCTGATAAAACTAAATGTTGGTTCTAGTGTTGTGGGTGGAGTTCTAGATGTGTACAATATAAAGCTAAATGTTGGTTCTCCATGTTTGACTCTTGTTCTGCATCAGGTAGACGTTACTTTCTAAGTTTGTTCTAGATTTGTAAACTAACGAGTCTCTCTACGTCCTGTTCCGATGTTAAACGTATAAAGCTAAATGTTGGTCTAAAGCAGGGGTGCCCAAAGTCGGTCCTCGAGGGCCGGCATCTTGCATGTTTTAGTTCTGGTGGTACTTAGGCAGGGGTCCCCAAACTACGGCCCGCGGGCCGGATCCGGCCCGCCTCCTCATTTGGTCCGGCCCCATGAACAATACTGGATCCGGCCCGCCTCCTCATTTGGTCCGGCCCCCTGAACACTACCAGAGAGCATTCAGTGCTTTTTTTTTCATATATATGTGGATTTTTCTTCAGCCACCAAGGGGGCTCTTGAGCAGATATGAAACTTAGTTTCCCTCAATGGAATATATACTAGTCAGTACCAGTCACCGTTTCGCTCACAGTTTTTTTTCCATTTGCATTCTGGGTAAAAATCTATCTACAAACGCGAATATGTAGTCGGCAGTAATCCAATCCCCCCCCATCAACAAAACTTTTCTAAGGTTTCTTTCTCGAAAAACTAAGACCGGCCCCCAACCAGAAAAGGGAACAGTTATGTGGCCCTCGCAGGAAAAAGTTTGGGGACCCCTGCTCTTAGGCCTTCTAACGAGCCATCATTTGATCCAGGTCCGTTAAACCAGGGAGAGAACTAAAACATGCAGGATGCCGGCCCTCAAAGACCAACTTTGGGCAAACCTGGTCTAAAGGCCAAGTACTCCACAGTTTATAAGCTAAATGTTGACCCTTTTAATCGGTTTTAATCCATCTGTGCTTAAGAAATGTCATTATTTACCAAAAGACACTGCATGACAACATCCGTAAACATTCATAAAGACTCATTAATGTTCATGACAGGTGTTATGTCATGTTTATGCCAGTGTCATGTCAGTTCTTCATAAGTGTTACCAAAGTCATTTAAAGTTTTCCATCTAAATCAGAATGGTGAGCTTGATTGACGTTATCCGGCTTGCCTCCCGAAACACTTTCTGCAGTTTTGTTTTGCTCAGTGATGTCAACCAGATGATGAAACGGTCGTAGTGATTAGTTTGCCTGTTGCTCTTTTCTTAGTGTCTCACTTGTTTACCTCAAGCTCCAGCTGCTAAACACAAAAACTTGAGTCAGTTGAGGAAACGGTTGAAAAATGAAACGAGGACACGTGTTTGTGTGCATCATTGTGACACAGTGACCTCTGTCTGCACAGGCGTCAGTCAGGGTGGGCTCTTTATTTCAGTATCCTGCCCAAGAATAGCCACCGAGTGACGGGAGGGGAGGCTGATAGTGTGTGTGTGAATAAGAGAGCAACAGGGGGAATGAGAGAACGAGGGAGTGTTGAGTCCATCAGTGACGGAGTCTGTGTGTTTGAGACAAGTAGAGAGAGGGAGAGATTTCCCAGCACAGTTTGATCGGCACCTCGGTTCTCCCTCCCGCTGCGTGAGTTACGGCTCCGACACTTCCAACGATCACAGAGGATTTTACCCAGAGCCCAAGGAGTTGACTCAATCTGCCGGAGATGAGCGTGGAAATGAACGGGCGCGCCGTGCCACCTTCCATACCTGAGGATGGCGAAGCCCCGGACCACATCCGCCACGGAGAGATGAACGGCTACCAGAGGCTTCAGGCTGGGGACGGGGGAGAGGCTGAGCTCCCGGTGTCCAAGTCCCAGAGACGGAAGAGTGACGTCAAAGTCTATAAAGAGTTCTGTGACTTTTATGCTCGCTTGTAAGTAGTGCTAGAAAATTGGAACAGAAATTCAACAAATCTGGTGGTGAAAGTTGTTTTTTAAACCATAAATGTGTATTGATATGAGAAGTAGTTAAACTTTCTTCTTGCTGATGAAAAAGGTCAATTGGTATCACATTAAATCCAACATTTTCATATATTTAGAAGGTAAAGAATGTTGAGGTCGTATTTGCCGTCACGTTATTAGCTTAAGTCCGATCCGACTGCAGTGCTGCAGAATGTGAGGAATTCCTCCGTGGAGCTGAAGCGGACAGTCTGATTAGCTCAAGCTGCTGTTTGTGCAGAGATATCTGGACGCTACAGGAGGGAACGCACAGGGAGGGCTATTTTCGTGCCAAACGGGGGGAGAGTTGTTATACAAAATGGCATATGCCAGCTGGCATTCAAAATATGTGCGCTTGAGAGACAGCAGAGCTAAATATACATACTGCATTTCTAAACTGTTCATCACCTGATGCAGGAAAAGATGGGCATTAGGTCACCTGCAGGATTTGGATCAAAGCTTTTTGAGGAGATTATTTAAAAATGAGTGAGGTAACTATCAACAGGTACTTAATTTGTATTATTAGTTAGAAAATTGGTAATATTACCAATTTTACTAGTAGTACAAATAGTAACATTTTTACCTGGCTGCAGTAAAAAAAAAAAAAAAACAACTTAAAAATGAGTTAAGATATAAAAATGTAAATTTTTATGGAAAGTCAACTTGATGTAGTAATGTAAAAACTTAAGTAAAATTCCTGTTAACTAATCATTTTTAGTTTAATATAATAAGACAGTTAAGGAAATATCTTAAGTGTTTTGAACTTGACAATTACAGTTACTACAACTTCACTGAGTCAAAGCAACAAGACAACTAGCATATTTTTTACAGTGTGCCGTTCATCTGTTATGATGCTGATTATAAAGTAGCCCAAGTCAGTTGCCTGCATTATTACATCACATTAGAAACCATAAGTACAGTTATTAAAGTTAATGCTATGTATATTGTTGACACCTCAGTTGCAATAAGGAAGTTTGCTGTGCTTAAAATGATTGTTTTCCTGCCTCAATATTCTTATAAAATGTTCTTTTTTTCACTGTGCAATCTGTTTTTTAGAGTGCACCACTCCCTCCTACAGCAAAACATAACATTCCCCTACTGATACTCGGAGTCTGTGACACAATAAACCCAAGACATCATTAGAAAGATGAACTACTGTGCTTTTAACTATATATGTTTCTAACCAACTACTATAAAATGCATGGCATTGTAGAATTGGGTAATTGTATTATTTAATAAGGGTAGCTCAAAATTTAAACAACTGATTATCTGCAGTTTTGGAGGAAGAAGTTGCATCTAGTGATGAAGTGATTATATACAGTAATTGTAGGCAGTTGTAGATTTTTTTAAGAGCAGTATTTATGCTCTTTTGGGTTATGTTTGAACAATCAAAGTTATCTAAACAGACGGAAAAGAAATCACTTTTTGCACTTTTAGCAATATCCCAACAGTACCCGAAATAAAAGTGTATAATTTGCTGATGTAGGCACACTAACTAAAAGATTAATTGCTCTAACCCTAAAGCACTAATCATAAACTGTAATGCCGCTAACGCTAAAGAACTACACCAACATTTAGTGGAAGCTAATCCTAAAGCATTAACTTCAGTTCAAATCATATCTGCCTTTGAAAGATTACATTTAATTTTAATTTATATATTATACTCTATTGTATTTATGTTTACATCTTGTTCTGTTTTTTGTGTTCTGTATGTTTAGTCATTGAAATAGTGTAAAAAAAGAGAGAATAGGAAACAGATCTGTACCACGAACTTCAAAATAAGAGCATGAATATTAATGTCTAACTACCAGAATAATTTTTACAGTCAATAATCAAAACTTCAACACAGATTTTGACTTTTATCATCTAAAAATTTACAAAACAGCAAAGGAAATCAGAGATTTAGAATTTATCTGGAAAAATTAATTTAGGTAAAGCCATGTGCGCTAAAGGTTAGCGCTGTTATTAGCCCACTACTAACGATTTCTAACTGCTAAAGGTATTTGGTTTTTATTGGACCCCTAGAAATGCGTTTCAGTTGATATGTGAATCTGCAGGAGCAAATGTTCACCCACACTGTCTTCACAACGCAGTAATTACAATTGGACAATGTGCTGACTTTACTGCAAATCAGAAGTTCAAAGCGTAAAGAATGACATGCTGATGCCACATGGGAATTCATGCTGAACAAGTCTGTGCTTCAAGAAGATGCTTCTCTCATACTTTTTCTTGCTGTCTTCATCTCTTTTTTGTTTGTCCTGTTGATACAGCATATTATTTATACAAATACATGAACCAAAGAAGAAAACACATGGACATGTTATAAAGCAAAGCTCTAAGCAGGCTTTTTACTTCCTGTCACCTTGCAAACTCTTTCCAGGTGCCAGTCTTTTGAGCTGTGAGAACATAACTCTCTGCTTTCTTTCTCTGCCTCATGTGTGAATTTAATTTAGCCGCATGAAAGCAGCTTTTGAGCAGATCCCAACAAAAACTAAGCCAAGAGATATGGAAAATTGGATTAAATTTAATTAGGAAAGGCCTTTTTTCCCCAAGCTATATAAATGTGTTCAGTTTGGCTATGGGTGCTGCTAAAGGCAGATATGAGGGTGGAAATGCCTGAGGGATGTATCACTTCCTCACGGCCAGGGCAGGGCTGTCAGGGTGTTTGATATCAGTCCAAACGAGCCAGAAGAAAAATGTGTATGTGATAATCCCGCAGCAGACTGGACACATCTTGCCTCAAAGTGGTATTTTTACAGCGCATTCCAGCTAAACACCTTTTTAATGCTAGGTGTATGATATAATAAATGCTTCATACAGCTGCCGTTGTTCACATGTTGATGTTTGGCGCATAACCCAAAAATGAGAACAAATGAATCGTGTTTTTGGACTTCTTTGAGAAAAATCCAGCATAACTAAGTAAAAATTACCAGATGGTTTCACTTTGTGATGATCCTCCATGGTCTTGTGTGTTGCCTTCACACACTGTGCTATTTTGACCTTTTCGAAAGCAGGAAAGCCAGGATTGTTCCTCCAATTCCCCCTCCTCTGTGTTTTTCATAGCAATATGTCTCCCTGCTTCATATTTCCACCTACATCCAGCTTATTGGGTATTAAACTGCAGAGCAGGGACATCTATCTGGATTTTATGTTCTTATTATAAGCATTAAAGTATTTAGATTTAATGTCACCGTTATCAGAGGGCATCTTTGTTTTTTAATGAAAGTCCTTATAAGAAATTAGGTTTTACAGCCCTTTGTGCTCATGAATGACATTGCAATTGCATGATTTCCTAATATCTTGCAGCTTTAATCAACACAAAATCTGGAAACAACCACTTGGGCAATCATATTAGCATTAAAGCGCTGTGAGAAAGCACAAAGGCAGCGCAATTAAATTATATTACACAATTTCTATTGTTGATGGGAAGATAATTAGTAACTGCTATGCGTTTTTAAAAACTGTTTTTATTGCCTGATGGACTCCAGTCAAAAACTCTAACAGTTCTGATCTTACATCAGTGGTAAGGTGGTGATAAGTTTGTCATTAAATGCGGTAAAATTCAAAAGAAGAAGATGAGCATGGCTAAAGCAGTGCTAGGCTAAACAGTTGTAGCTTCAGTTTACTTTTACATTCTGTTCAATTTCCTCTCAGTTTCTAACTCAGCACACATGTTAAAGTAAACAGAGCCAAAACAAATGGAGACAAATGCAAAACAAAAAAAAAACCCCACACCTGTGCTATGGAAAGCTTTTTTCTTTCATGAGATAAAATAAAAATGTTGCATCTGGATGGGAGACACAAACTCAGAAAAATAAACCTTCTGTTTGGGTTAGCATTTACATTTCAAAGATTTCTCAGAACGATGAACCAATATTGTTAACATTTTGTTTTTGTAATATAGTTGGGCCAATCACAAACCTCCCCAACACTGAGAAAATCCAAGGCCTGTTTTTCTTTTTTACAGTAATAAAATCAAAGTTTCCATCTCAGACTTTTTTTATTTGCTTCATCAAGATCATCATTGAGTTGTTTTATCTATTTTTGATCAAACTTTTTTTATTTATAATTTTACCACCTCTTTTCAGTGTTATGTTACACAACTATTGTCATGAATTATATTACAGGCATAGAGTCCGAGTCCATGTTGGCTAAAAAAATTACCTTATTGCAATTAAGCAGTACGCGTATTGTGTAGAGTGATTTTGTGATAGTAAATTCAAAGCCATGTAAACAAAAATCTTAAATGAACAACGGTCAAACAGTTATTTTTTCATTTCTACTTTTAATTATGCATTTCAAACAGGTTTTAAAAAAACTAAAGAACAAGCGGCCAGTATGTCAGGGAAAAACCTGTTCATACGCTGAACAAAATGCATTTATCAGGACTTCAATCTGGAATCCTTACTTATTCTAGTTTAACATTCTACTTCATCCACTCTGTTTCATTACAGACTGAAAAGAGTCATAACTTGAGTTCATAAGAGTTCATACTTCTTGGGCTTGTTTCTTGTGTCTCAGATTTTGAGATTATTATTTCTAAATATTAGAAAATATTACACCCATCCCTGTTGATATAGTGCCGAACATGTTTTACTGTGATAAAAATATTTTATCTGATCGTTAATCCTGCACATGTTGTTTCTTCCCTGTCCTGTAATCTTAAATCCAATTTAAAAGCCGATGTTTGTCCTCATACCTCAGATTTGATTAGCAGCAGCTTCTTGCTGTGCCAGAAGGACAACATGCAGGTTTTACTCCTCGCTTAGCCTCCCACCCTGATGAACCAGAACCAAAATAAACCTGGAAACTCTTACATCACATGTTCCCTCTCCGCTGTCTCTCTCAGTTTAATCTTCCAGCTGTTATCATGCTGTGGGAAATGTGGCAACAACTTTTTAAACATTGTTTTATGTGTTCTGGCGTGATCCCAGTTATTGTCCTACCCAAACTCTGTTTACTCCTGGGTTGAATCAACTTATACCAAACCAATAAACCATTCATTCATCATTCATTTTTATTTAAATTATGCCCTTTTTGCATGATTTCAGTGCATTTTGCCCTGATTTATTTATTTTTCTTCATGTTTGTCTTCAGCAACATGGCCAACGCCCTGGCCAACGCCATGTGTGAGCGCTGCAAGAGTCGCTTTGCGCCGGCGGAAAAGATAGTGAACAGCAACGGGGAGCTTTACCATGAGCAGTGCTTCGTCTGTGCGCAGTGTTTCCAGCAGTTCCCAGAGGGACTCTTCTATGAGGTAACTTTCTATGCCCTGATAAATTAATAAAAACATGCATGAGCCAATAACTCTTAGATGTAAGCGCTCCCTGAGGCAAAATCAGCAGATGCTGTGTAGCACACTTCCTATCTGCTCTGTCTGTGTGTTTTTATGGAGCTGTAAAATTAAATAGATTTATGTTTTTGCTTTTTTTTGTTACACTTTAATGTTTCAGATCATCCAACATTTTAATATCAGATAAAAGTAAATACAAAAAGCAGTTTTTAAATAATTTCATTTAAAAGTAACCTACTATACATCCTTGAACATGTTACAATAGGTCTGTCTATGGGGTAAATAAAACATGTTTGTTACATTTTACACTCGTTTACTCAACGTTTACACTCACTTGTGAAAATGTCGGCAACAGATGTGCAATTATGCAGCCGTACATATTTGAAAAGCATAAGTGGGGCCTCTTGGACATCCAACAAGAATGCAGCAAGTGGTTTCTGGATGGTAAAATCAACAATCAAACACTTTGCTTTTTCCAGCAGCCATTGTAGAGCAAAATCAGCTGAACAAATGTCCTGGAGCTCAGCTTGGGTTGCTAGGTAACAGGCTGGGCTTCACTGGGGTTGCTAGGTGACGAGCAGTGCCTCCTGATGTGGCGTTATATTCCGAAGGCTCAATTTCCAAACACAAAAAAATTAACTTATGGCCAATTAGCGACTGGGTGTTTTTTAAGCAGTTGGGTTGTTTTTGGAAGCAGGAGAAACCCAAATGGATGTATAAAAATATGCAAAATGTTAATTTTGTATGATTGATCCCCTTTAAGGTAAAGAAAGTCATGTGAAAAAAAATCTATTTTACACTAAATGCAATAACTGGTTATGTATTTGCAATAAATAGACCAGTTTTCTTTCCTATTGAAGGATTTTCAAGCATTTATAAACTCTGCAAAGTCACATAAAGTGAACAAAATGTGGTTAATAATAGTTAATCACAAAATGTGAAATGTGAATACCCCTTTTTCCTTAATCAATGAAATAATAATTTTAAAACTTCTTTTTGTGTTTATGGAGGATATCATTGGCTACTTTTGAAATATTTTGGATTGTTTTAATCACAATGTGTAATATGAAGGAGTATTAGTGCCAGGCTAAGAGAAAAAAATTAACTATTCAAATAAAGTCATGGTATTACATGAAAAAAGTCAGAATATAACAAGAATAAAATCGTTCCCCAGTAACTCAAAAATAATACGAGAATAAAATAGAATACAAGAATAAACTCGGAATACTACCTGAATAAAATTGTAATACTTCAAAGTGGTAATTTTATAACAAAATACATTATAAATTATAATAATTATAATAAACTGAAATGAGGAATGTTGACCATATTTTGAGGTTAGAATTTGGTAATCAAAACTTTGTTTTCATGAAAACAACTTTTTTCTAGTAATTTGACAATTTTCTCTGTTATTATTGTTACTTTACTGTCATAATATTGTTGCTTTACTCTCGTAATTAAAAAAAAAATTATGGTAATATGTGCAGTTAGTATAAAACAACATGTAGAAGACTTTTTGGCACACAAATGTTCTGCAGAAGTAAACCAAGGTGATCACAACCTTTAAACAGTGTTGAATTATTAAAAGCTGCTTTTCCAATAAACTATTTCTCCACAGACGTTGAAACAAGGTCAGGTGTTTCTCAGATTCCCCGAACAACACAGGGCCTCTAATGTGAACCACACAACCTGATCAATAGTTAATAGGCATCAAAGACAAGGAGATCAGTTCTTCCTTTCCTTACTGTTCATGTTGCTATAAATACACAGAGATAAAATGAAATCCAGGAAACATCCACAGCTGCAGTTAATTTAATGACAAAGATTAAACTAATTATTTCCTTCTTCATGTTCAGATGTTCTGCTGTGAAATTATTCACATTTTTCTCTGTAATTATTCCCACTATTTGTATTTTATATCACTATTTTGTGATTAAACATCACTTAAACCCCATGTATATTCAACAGTATACATATCTGACTATATATTTGCATGACATTATGAGCAAACATCAATAACTTTTAACATGTTAAAATGCATATAAAAATGTTAAAAGTATTATATGCAACCATTTTGGTGCCTGTTTAAAATGCACTTCAGCACTTTATGCTGGAGTTAAAGTGAGAAACGTTTGAATTACAACACCAGTAATATATTTGTTTTGACAGTTTGAAGGCAGGAAGTACTGCGAACATGACTTCCAGATGCTGTTCGCTCCTTGCTGCCATCAGTGTGGTGAGCATAAACCTTTCTTCTTGTTCAGAACCAAATGAGAACAGAGCTGGATTTTAAGAGCCAAATCGCTTCATTGCTGTTGTTTCTGTAAACGTTTGTTCTCCTCTCAGGTGAGTTCATCATTGGCCGAGTGATCAAGGCGATGAACAACAGCTGGCACCCCGAGTGTTTCTGCTGTGACCTTTGCCAGGCCGTTCTCGCAGATGTTGGATTTGTTAAAAACGCCGGACGGTCAGTGCTAGTTCAGTCATTTACTCTCATATTTAATGTTTGGTGGGTGTGAATGTTCCAATAAAAATACATCTGTATTTATACAAGAGAATTTACCTAAACCTTATAACATAATTTAACTTTTTATTTAAAAAAAATCAGAAAAGCTATAATTCTTTCTACTGTTGCTAAAATAATGGTTAAATGTTGATATTTAAATTTTGATTCATATGGACAACAACAGAATAAAGGTGTTGAAAATCAGTCCTGTAATCATTTCAGTAAGTAATTGATTTAATCTGATTATTTTAACTGACATAACGTTAGTTCTCATGTCACGTCACACGTCAGTGAACTTTGCCCTTTTCTGGCAGTTGCCATGGAGTTCCTAACTTACAAATAATATAAGTACATGACAACTATTCCTCAAACACAACTTGTGAGTATTCCAGCTCTATGTAATACTAAGATAAATATCAGTGATATTTACCGTAGTTAATTACTGCCGATGTAGCAAAATTAGCTTAGCTAATGTAGCTTTTAGCTGCTAGCTAACACGGACGTGTAACCTACATGTATGTTACTATTATATCCGTGCTCTGCCTGTCACCTGAACCTTGTTATTCACACGAAGAGTTCGTAAGTCCATTATAAGTAATGGACTCATGTTTAAACATTGTTTGTATTCGTTCATGGATTTCAGTCTCCATGGTGTTCACGAAGTAGTTAACTGGATCGGCAGCTTGTCCACGTCGTCTGATACATTTTCCTTCTCTGTCTCATACGGGTAAATCCCGACAGCAGTGATTTTGTTCTTGTATCTTTCTCTTACACATTGGTCAAAAGTGTCCATATATTTTCATTTTGTTCGTCTCCAAACCATGGGTCCAGTGTGCATTGCGCATGTGTGTGGGAACTATATATATTTTGTTTTAAAAAGTGTAACCTGTGCTTTAAGATTAGAGCTAATTATAGAATAAACACCCCCTAAATGTATTGCTAGTATTTAATTATAAGTGCTTATTGCTTTGAATATCATACTGTTTATACCTTCTGGATGCTCAACTCTTTATAAACAGAAACTCTGTTTTGAGCTGATCTTAGATGAGCTTAAGATGAGACATTTATGTGCTCCAAAGAATAGTCCAATTAAACCTTAATGTCCTAAACCACATTAATAGAATGACTTTAATGTTTTGGTGCAAGTTGTTACTTTGTTACTGGTTTGTATCCAGTATTGACTGTTCTGCTTGAAATGACCCATGACTTTTATCTGATATCACTCTGTAAGTCAAATAACCTTTGGAAATTAAAGTCTTCAACCTTATTGATCCCACGAGAGACTTAGTTTCTAATCAAAATTGCCCCTCTATTTTTCTTCTGTCTCTGTAGGCATCTGTGTCGCCCCTGTCACAACAAGGAGAAAGCCCGTGGACTGGGAAAATATGTCTGTCAGAAGTGTCACGCCATCATTGACGAGCAGCCGTTGCTTTTCAAGAACGACCCCTATCACCCGGATCACTTCAACTGCAACAACTGCGGGTAAACACAGTCACAAGCAAAAATAAGTGAGAGGGCTACATGATGCAAGAGACAATTAATGTGGATTTCATTGAAAATTCTCTTGCATGCAGGCAAATGTCAAAGTCTTAGCATTCAAATATAAATTTTAGAGGATATTAACCAAGATTTTAGGGTTAGTGTCATAAATCTTTGCTTCGTTTTTCTAAAAATATATTTTGAAGAGAAACTCAATTGATTGACTAAAAACCCAATACTGCCATCTAGTGGAAAGGTTGGGTAATTGTCTTTGTAGGCATATATAATGTGTACCCAAGTTCTAGAAAATAGTTGAAAATCTTGCTAAATATTCTACTTCTTTGAACATAAATGTGACTATTCCTTAAAATTTATATTTTGCATTTTTTTTTCCAAAATAGAAATTACATCACTATGTCAGTTCAGCTGAGGTTTAATACCACTAAGCCTCCTGAATTGTTTGAAATCTCTGCAGTAAGGAGCTGACAGCGGATGCCAGGGAGCTGAAAGGCGAGCTCTACTGTCTGCCCTGCCATGACAAGATGGGCGTCCCAATCTGCGGAGCCTGCAGGAGACCCATCGAGGGCCGCGTGGTCAACGCCATGGGCAAGCAGTGGCACGTCGAGGTGCAAGTTTTTAAAATTATTCCACCTAAAAATTCAACAGGTAGCAGCTAGGGATGCAAATTATCGATTAACGAGTTAATCTAAAGATGACTGGTCTTATCAGTCGACTTACGATTAATTGATAAGAGTCAAATTTGTCTTGTATGAAAAGAGCTGATCGTCTTTCCATAATCTGAAGGAGTTCATTTTTCATAATATGAGTTTGAAGAGAAAAACATTACATTTTAACATTATTTTGTGTCAGATGTATTAAATAGTGACTAAATAAACAGAAAATTGTCGCTCTCACATTATTAAACTTAGACATATTTATAAAATATAACAAAACATTAATCTCTTAAGTTTCTCAAAGGAAAAATAAGATTAAAAGTATAAAATATGAGCAGATGTTCATACAGAAGTACAATTTGTGGTTGCTCTTGAAGGAAAATTGAAACTTCACTCCATGAATGAAATTTCTGGAGTGAAAATACATTTTCTACTTTAAAAGCTGTGAAAATGTCCACCTTTTTTATAGAAAGTATGTGGACTTAATCTAAAATTTTCTGACTTTTTGTTGAAATTTATTCTTCTTTCTTTTGTTTCTGTCTACAATGGCTCTAATGTGCCATCGTTGCTCCGCCATGCAGCTCGTCTGAATGAGTTTTATCGAAACGAAACTTAATGAGCTTGTCATGTGTTTATATTTCAAAACAAAACCGCAAAAGATGCATTTTGCACTGCAAACTGGACCATTTCTCTTTCCTGTTCTGGAATAGCTGCCATCTTTAATTCTATACAGTTAATAATTACGTTTAAGGTTTAAGAATGACCACTGGCGCCCTCTGCTGGATTGTGGCCAAACTACAACAATAAAAGTAGATCTGAACAAACACTTTTATTTAATCAACTGGAAGTAATTTTAATCTAATAAACCATTAATCGATAATTAATTACAAGTCGATTAATCGTTTGCATCCCTAGTAGTAACATAGAAGTTGGAGACAGAAGCATTCACATTGTACTACCCAGTCAATAAACAAACAGATTTATGTCTGTAGGCTTTAAGCGTCTGTCATGATAAATTAATCAACTTAATTCTTTTCCCCAGTTTTTCACATTCACAGTCAGTTTCTCTGTTTTCTTCAATGTTTAGCATCATGTGTGTACTGTGTGTGAGCGCCCGTTTCAGGGCCACCCGTTTTACGAACGAGGCGGCCGTGCCTATTGTGAGAGACACTTTGACATGGTGAGGGAGGGACTGCGCACCTGTTTGAGTGTTGAATGCTGCCCGTCTCCCTGCCTGACTGAAATTAACCAGCCTCCATGCAGGGTTTACAGTAGCTAGAACAGAATAGAACAAAACGAATAGAACAAAAAAAACTTTATTAAACCCACAGTGGGGAAATTTACTTGTTACACCATCGCAGTAAAAAAAAAATATGCCCCAGTAAATATCAAAATATCTAAAACCATTATAAACAACTTTATATTAACAAAGTACTTTAATATTAATTAAAATTAAATTGTAACCTGAAAATCTGGGTATTTTTTTTAAATACAAAATAAATAAATAAATATAGAGTATATTCTTTTGTATTTTCATTGAACAACTTTATAGAGCTCACATGCAGTGACATAAAGATCACATGTGATTTATTGCACATTTATATTTTAACTGAATACACTGGTTCATATTTGTTGTAAAAAACAAAAAGCTAACTAATATTGCCTCCTTTTTATAATTTAGTCACTTTTTAAAGATTTAATTGGTGGTTTATTGTAGAGGGATAATCCATTGGCGAATAATTCACTAAGGAAAAAATGCTTTATGCCAAAGTATTGCTCACAGAGATAATTTGTTCAACTTTTAAACTGTTATGAGTTTTAACAAAACTGTAAATAACAACTAATATGGAGAATGTTACAAATAAAGCTAATTTAGATTGAAATAATTTGTACAAAATAGATTTTTAATTTGTTGCCTGTGTTGTTTTTATTTTACTATTCACAATTTATAAGTCAGAAGAAAATTTTAAAACGTAGGTGACTTTCTCATTTTGAAAGAACAATTTACAAACTTCTATTATTAATATTTCTCCAGTCCCTGTGTGGATGCATCAGCATCACATCTGGAATGAACTTTGTTGTGTTTTGGCCTCATAGTGTAACATAATAATACTGTACTGATGAGTGTGATGATGTCACTGACTGACTTATGCGCTAACCATGTGTGCTGGGCCTTGGGTTGTGCTTGCAGCATTTTGTGTGTGCTAAGTGTGAGAAACCCTTCCTGGGCCACCGTCACTACGAGCGCAAGGGCCTGGCTTACTGTGAGACCCACTACAACCAGGTAACAAACACATTACAACCAGGTAACAGACACATTAAACAGATAACAAACACACTATAACCAGGTAACTAACACATTATAACCAGGCAACAAACACACTACAACCAGGTAACAAACACATTAAACAGATAACTAACACATTATAACCAGGTAACTAACACATTACAACCAGGTAACTAACACATTACAACCAGGTAACAAACACACTATAGCCAGGTAACTAACACACTATAACCAGGTAACTAACACACTATAACCAGGTAACTAACACACTATAACCAGGTAAGAAACACACTATAAACAACCAGGTAACAAACACACTATTAACCAGCTAACTAACACACTACAACCAGGTAGGAAACACACTACAACCAGGTCAAATTAAATCCATAGTAAGAACTGGGAACTTTTTAAACTGAAAAAGTACATTTTTAACATGTGGGTGTTTTGGGATACAATCGTCAACTTTTCTAAATCATAATTATCTAAAATAATCATAAGAACTGAACTAATAATAAATATGTAATTAGAAGTCATCTGATTCTGCCATTTTATCATCAATAATTGAAGTTTAATGTTTCTGTAATTTCTTGGGTTTATTCTTTCAGATGCATTGTAATCCAGCACCCTTTTTTGTTTTTAATTTTTATGAAAACAGCATGTTGGGTGAGCCATGGCAAAATAAAAAAAATGTTTTGCTACGTTGATAATCTTCTGTTTCTGCCTCTTAGCTGTTCGGAGACGTTTGCTACCACTGCAATCGTGTCATCGAGGGAGACGGTGAGGAATTTCTCTTATTCTGTATCCATGTATTTGATCAGATCAGTTATAGTTTTTCCAGTAAATCAGAATAATGTGTTTATAATCTACTCTCTGTGGTTGTTTATTTCCAGTGGTGTCTGCCCTCAACAAGGCCTGGTGTGTCAACTGCTTCGCCTGCTCTACCTGCAACACCAAGCTCACTCTCAAGTAAGTTACACGTTTTATCGACACACAAACAGTTCAGATGCTCTTTATTTAGAGGTTTCCAAAGCTGATAATGACTGATTAATGATTAGAACAGGAAATAAAACTGCATCTCAATTAATTTAAATTATCATCAAGTTGTGACCCTCCCTGGTTATATTTGTACCTTTTTGACATTAACATAAATAAGGTTTTCTTCTTTGCATGCTCTTCAGTTGTCAGTCTTGCCTCTGAGACTTATTTTGCTGCTTTCAATCATGATTTTCAGTCTTATCTTTCCTGATTTCTAATCTGTCTGTTGTCTTTTCTTCCATCTCTCCTGTTGCTTATTTCTTTGTCCTCTCTGCTGTCTCCTAACACTTCTTTTTCCTCCTGAACTGCTTTCTCTGCCGTTCATCTCTCCATCATCCCTGCTCCGTCAGGGATAAATTTGTTGAGGTGGATCTGAAGCCTGTGTGCAAACACTGCTTCGAAAGACTCCCAGACGATTTGAGACGTCGGCTGGCCAAGCGTGAGCGTGACTCAAAAGAGAAGAAGAAGAAACCGCTGATACCCATGTGTCTTTGATACTCCCTTGCTCTCTGTCCTCCTTGCAGCTGTTCCTCCTTTGGTCAGTTTTGATCTTCCTTCAGTTTTCTGCTTTTCCATATTTAACCCTAAAACCTCTCTAACACTCATTGAAGCAGAGATTTGGCTTAGTTGAGTGACGTAATACTGAAATGTTTTTCCCCGCACGTGACTGCCTCTCAGCAGGAAATGAAGATCAGGATTTGGACCAGAGCTTGCTGTGCAAACAGCAGAATCAGAATCAGTCGCAGGCTGAAGGGAACGCTTTGTTTCCTGGTTCCCCCCGTCTGTCTGGCGTTAGGAGTAAATCCGTAATCACATTCGGCAGCTTTCTGCCATCATCTGAGCAAATCTAAAGTTTCCTCTTGTTGCTATGCGTGACCCAGTCCTGGTAGCGTAAATACTTTAGAAACGGCTGAGTGAAAACAAAAGCTGGAAAAAAATCGATCCATATGCCTGAAAACCACTCAACCGTGTTTTTTGGCAAGTTATTGCCTTTTGGTTCCTAGAAAATTAATAGTTTCAAAAAATCCTCCGTTTGTTAAATCACATTCTGTTGGCGCTGCGCCGTCACCTAGCAACCCCAGACCAGCCTAGCCCGTCACCTAGCAACCCCAGACCAGCCCAGCCCGTCACCTAGCAACCCGAGCGGAACTCTAGTACATGTGTCAGTTGGTTCTGAAAGGAGGTCAAAATAGGCAGAACTGTCCAGACTAAAATATCATTATTATTAATTATTTTTGTTCAAAGGATGTAATGAACATCAGTAAACTTTTCAGTAATGTAAAGGAGCTTGTTTTAAGTCAACAATTTCTTAATATTGTGCAGATTGGCAGATCATTTCACTTATTACATGGGAAAATT